TACATCATCGGTAAAGGGTCAAATTACTTTCGGGCTTTTTTGCCTTTTCGGCTTTTCCCGAAAGCGAAAAGTCCAAAAGCTGGAAAGTTTTAACTTTCCACAACTTTCATCGACCAAGTACCCATCTTGTAGACTGACCTTGTACTCGAGCTTTAATCTTGAATGTCATTCAAGAACTAAATCTAGATTATCGTATGATTTTGGTCAGGATTTTTAACTTTCGGACTTCCGGTGACTTTCGCCGGGAGCCTATTTTGGGGTTCCGGAAGGCCGACTTTCGGGAAATCAGACATGGCTTCCGGCTTTCCGGCTTTTGGGCATTTTGGGCCGAAAAGTGACAAAAAAGGCAAAAAAAGGCGCTAAAAAGGCGCCAAAAAGTGACTAAAAGACTGTGACCAAATACTGATGATCCCGGTGCTTTGCCATACTGTTAGTCAGCTCTCATCCTTGTATCCGTACTCTAGCAATCGACGTTGCTGGCGTACTCACACGGCCCGGAGGCCTTGCTCGATACGAGACCGGAGGCTGAGCTCTTACAGCCTCATCCTGAAATCCCATCGCGATGTCAATAACTGTCCTAACTAAAAAATAGATAATGTGGTTACCAAATGATCATCATGAACAAAATTCCACCTTTGAATATCTTTGAACCTGTTGGAGGCATATGAGTAAGACTCTCGCTCACTGTGACCCCATCACCAAAACACCGCTGTCTTTGTGAAGTCAAGCTCCTCCACAAGTTCACGCATTGTTCTCAATGTCCGTCTCCGAATAATCGAGAAAGCTGTTCAACTTCTTTCTGTCGTGGCCGCGGTGCCGGCCGATGAAAAGTTTTTGTATCTGTACTGGCAGGCCCTACCATGAATTGCGGTTTGATTGAGTCGGGGTCCGACATAGGACCTTCACCATGCCACATTGCTACTGAGACGTAATACCAGCGAAGAGAGGGAACCGGTCATGGATCGCGTTGAGATAATGAGACGAGTATGTATGGCTAACCGAATCAGCTCAGGTGAATAGGCCATCAGGCTAATCTAAGTGACCTTTCTTTTTAATGACTCTTTTGCTCGCTCGGGCTTCATTTGATTTGTTCCCAACTGAACGAGTTCCACTCCTTGCTGCCACCGCTCTCATGCACCGGCCACAGAGTTCCAGGTAAGTATGAACTAGTGATGTGCGGGCTCGGGCTTGAGCCCTGGCAAGCCCAAGCCTAGCCCGGGGCTTGAAAAGCCCAGCCCGGCCCTGGCAGAGGGCTTTAGGAGGCTTAGGGCTCGGGCTCAAAATTTTGTAAGCCCAAGCCCTGGGCTCAGGCCCTCCCCCTCATCTGCAAGTGAAATGCAGTTGTGTGTCGGATATTCTCCTTGTGCTAGTGTTATTGACCCTCCAAGACTGATAGTCAGTGGCCCTTTGGTTCTTTACCGAGGTTTATACTCACCAAGTATTCACTGACTAGTGTCTTTTCATCATCAATTGGGGGACCCATGCAACTTGGAACTTGGTGGTGGTCCAATCCATGGACCACCGGGTAGTAGGAATCTTTTCGGGCTTTCCGGCACACAATCTCACATCCCTATTTTTTTCTTGTGCAGCCTTATGTACGTCGGTACTCAAGCCCCGGCCCAGGCCCGAGCCCTAGGGTTTGATGTCGGGCTTAGGCTCAAGGCTCGGGCTTTGATTTTGGTGAGCCTAAGCCCTCCAAGCCGAGCCCAAGCCTGAGGCTTTGAGCCCAGCCCGAGCCCGCACATCACTAGTATGAACGTACTGTCATCTCGATATAACTGGTTTACTCTATCAGGGCCCGTGGCCCTCGAGACTCAGACACAGTCAGAGTTCGGTTGGTATAAATGGTGGCAATCGCCAAACTTCTTGTGGCTCGCCACAGTAGGACCTACACCCACAGCCCCATGGATCCGATATACATACCTGCCTCCGTGGCCTGATGATCGACATTCGCTTGCCGAATTTATTGTGGCAGAGTCATTGCGTGGCGGAAAGCGCGCCACAGAGTCCTCAGTCTTTAAAAAGGCCCGTAGACGGCGGGTGGTCGACATCCCTCCCTTACCCACTTCTTCAATCCGTACACGCACACTCGATATGGACAATGTCTTCACTTCCCATCACACCGACTCCCCGACGAGTCGGTGTAGAGACAATGATGAACGAGAAGGGGTATTTCACACCAACGCTCATCGCGATCGCCAATCCGTGGCACAGAATCCTCGTATGAGAATTGACCATCTCATCCATCCAACTCCTCCTCCTCCGAATCCTTCAATCCCAAGCTCGGATGGCGCCACACCTCAATCAGCGAACGTGCCGAGTCAGTACACACGAAACGGATTCCAGAGCTCGATGAAAAAACACCACAAACAAGTTACCAGTTGGTGTCAGGGCGTACATTTGGATCACGGTTTTACGCGAAAGAGGCAACCAAGGACGTTTTGGGAGTCTTCGGAGGATGGTGGGCCGTTTTTACATTATGATGCGAGGGCTACGATGACTGGTGGTCGGAGGTCCGATGGTAGATTCGTGGATTAGTTTATCGTATATACCTTTACGAGTGGTTTCTAGCAAGGGAGATGGTAATCATGGTGACTGTTCTAGTTATGCGGATTGCGTGGACAGAGATGTCAAAGCCTATCCCGATGGGTTGACTCGCCATCGTTGGTAATTACCTAGAGCTACCCTCTCTCACAATTCAGAACGACTCCGAATAATATGATTCGAGCTATCACACGCAGTATCGTGGCTCAAGTTCCTCGCCATGTTAGCCAAACAATCAACGACATCGATGATTTCCTCGATCTCAGGATACCCATACTGTATACAGTACTCGTAGCCAGCATGGTAGACCCTGTATAGCGAGTTAGCGGTTTCGTACCAAATATCACCGATATCCACACCAATTCTATCCTTCGGCACGCCTGTCGCATTCTCCCCGATTCTCCCTCCCACTTGTCTTCTGTGATGTCAGACGACCTTCTTATTTCACCCGAACTTCGCACGATACTCGCTTCTCCTCCACCTTCTTTCTTCTTTCGGTCACATGCTAGCCCCCCCCCCCCCCTCACCCTTTCCCCACAGCTAACCCTCTACACCGCCCTCCTCGCCCCCTCCTTCTCGAAACTCCCAACCAACGCTCAACTTGATGCGTACCTCTCCTACTGGAAAGGTCTCCAAGACTCTTCCTCAGACCCCAAGCCGAGTCAATTCAGCAAGAAGAGTCAAAAGCTCGTACACGATGTTCAAGATATCCTCGAATCCTTGAGAGCCTTGGTGAAGGAGAAAATTGAGGAGCGATTTGAAGGGTGGGGAGAAGGAGGCGAGGGAGAGGGGGACGTATAGGGAGCACTTGGATAGGGTGTTTTGATGGGACGAGGGTGTTTGTTGGGGGTGTTGTGGAGGATAGGACGAATAAGAGGTGGGTACTGATTGCGATTTTGGCGTGGGAGGGTTGGCTGACGATTTTGGCGCGGTGTGTAGGCTCGGAACGGGTATTCAGCGTCTGACGAAGGATTTGTTTGAGAACGATCAGCTCAAGTTCAAGAGCGACCTGTGGAACGACGTCCGAGGCGTTATCTTACCCGGTTTGATCGAAGAGGTAATGTTTTCCTTTCCCTCGCATCTCTGTACATCGCTCACCCCCCACGCTCGCACAGGTCGGCTACATCCCCATTCCCCATATCGAATACCTCGACGAAACCTTCGACCTCGTCGTCAAAAGCTCACCCTCTCCGGCCGCAACCTCTTCCCCAACGTCGTCGAAGTCGAAATGCACAACTGGCTCCGCTGGGAGACGTTTGACAAGCTTAACAACCCGAAAGATCCACACAACCCTAATGCCTCCACGAAAGACATCAAGCGTCCACCAAACTCGCACCACAAGTTCCACATGCATATGACTCAGATTCAAGCTGATATGAGGGACGTGTTGTTTTACTTTAATAAGAAGGGTGGGGCGATTAAGATTAAGGATTCGGGGGTGGCGGATTTGGTGTTGGGAGGGGAGGGGATGAGTGTTGATGTTGAGTTGGGTGATTCGAGGGATGAGGCTAGGTGAGTTCGCTTTCCCCCTCTTTCTTTTGTTCTCGTGGTCAGGGCTAATTCGCGTTCTAGGCTTTTCGACATCAAGAAAGTCGCCGTCAAGATCGAAGGTTCCCTCAAGGTCTCTATCCGTGATTCGAAACACGATGTCCTGTACAAAACCCTCAAACCCCTCATGATGGGTCTCGTGAAGCGGCAGGTGCAGAAAGCTGTCGAGAGCGGCATCCGGAGCGGGTTTGAGTTCATCTCGGAGGAACTCATTGCGGTTAAGCAAAGGATGGACGAGGCCCAACGCGCTGCTGAGGCTGGGGAGGGTGAGGAAGCTGTTGGGCGGTTGCAAGCTTTACAAGACGCATTCAAACGCACCCCTTCGATCTCGGCGCAATCGAAAGACGCCGTATCCGTTCAATCCGCCGGTGGAACCTCCCAGTTCAAAGTCGTCGCTAACAAGCGCAACTCCATCTTGGGTGAAGTCGGGCACTCGGGTGGATGGGTATCGAGGGTCGGGGAGAGGGAGAAACTTATCGGACGTGCGTCTACGAGTCAGCCTGGTGCAGGGGTGGAGGATAAAGGGGATAGGGAGAAGGCTGCGCTTGCGGGGACGAGTCATGCGCCTGGGAGTGAGACTTGGAAGAGTGAGGTGTTTGATTTGAGGTTGAATACGCAGGCGAAGGCGTAGAGGTTTCTTGTTCTAAACCCGGACTTTGGATGTTGGTGGATGGTCTCTTCTCGATCCTCCTCTTTTCTTTCTTGCTTCTTTCCTCGCCTTTAGCTTGTTGTTGTAATATAACCTTGGTTTACCGCCCCCTCGCTCTTACCCTTACATTACCCTACCTACTCGATTTTCTTCGTTCTTAAGTTACACGAGATCTTTGTACTTTATGACTCGACGAATCAATTCTCTCAGTTTTTCTTGACTGTCTACACTTGTCTTGGGCATAGATCATGAAAGGTATGGCCGACTAGCTCAGTTGGTTAGAGCGTCGTGCTAATATACATCTTGGATCGCTATACTATTAACGCGAAGGTCTTGGGTTCGATCCCCACGTTGGCCAATATTTGTCATTATGACTATCTTTTTTTTTTTCTTGAGTGTGAGCTTGATTGACTTCGAGAAGGGTCGGATATCGGAGGTCGTGACTGGCTCACCACACAGTTGATCGTTTGACACGGGCACAAGCTGCTTTGATTCGTAGGGGGTTGCGTGTGGTAAGAGCTTCGCTATCGATTTGGGTAAGTCCGCCTTCTTACGCGGACTTATGCTCGGGTATACTATTGTTTATTTTGTTCGCAATCGAAGTTCCACTCGTTGGAATTTGGCAGCCACACTTTCGGGTTTCGGGTTTCGAGATTCGGTACGATAGCGGTGGGGGTAATGATTGTCACAGCGTACTTGTTGTGTAACTGGACCTACACTGTCCACCATGGCACTTTACACTTACAACCATGGGTTCCCGACATACGTAGCTGGAAAAACAAGCTGTATTATTCGCCGTAATCACCAGCCTGTCGCACAGAATTATCCTTGTATGGGGATTGAATTATACATCCCACTCCTCCCGATTTCACGGTCGGACGTCAACGAACGTTGCCAAGTCAGTATACACCCAACGAATTCCAAGTCGTCAGAAAAAAAGTTGGTGTCAAAGTGGTACATCTAGATCATAGCTATACGCGGAAGAAGGTTTTGGGATACTTCTGAGGGATGGTGGACTGTTTTTTTACTGTCTCTGAGCGAGTGGTACATAGTAGTAGTATGAGAAAAGGGTACTACGATACAAGGTTCCCTTCCAAACGAGAATGGCGGGGGTATAGGACGTCAGGACACAGAGGAGGTAGTAGCGGGATGTATGGATGAACTGACATTGCTATAACTTTCGAACTTGACATGCAGCATCCCTTGTTTGTTTCAATGGTCGGTGACTCCACGTTAACTCATTTCGAGTTTGTATCGATCTTACAAACCTAGGACGACCGCGATTCTGGTATTCAGTCGTTCGTGTAAGTCAACTCAAGCTAATCTGGGGGGGAACGGGAAGTTTTGAGATTCGATATCAGCCCCCTTGTTAACTGACTTGTGTGTATGATAATTACTTGGTGTAGGTGGTGGTTTAAAATCACAGAACTTGGTAGAGGGATCGATCAAGAAAAAACAGAATCGATATGACGCAAGGTTCCCACCTCTTATCCCAAAGACACTATTCGAGCCGTAGCTCCAGAAGTCGCAATGATCAAAAGTCAACACAACACGATGGATACGATTCCATAAACGATATCAGATACTGTACAAGCGTCAGCGCCTTTTTTTGGTATTTTAATCGATTTTCTATCATATCAGTCAAAGAAAGAAAAGGAATTGGGGAGTGGGCGTGTGCGACAGAAACGTCACTCGGGATTCTTTGGAAGAGATGACTTCCTGAGGATCAGTTAGTCTTCACCGGAACGAGTCTCCAGGCGGCTACATCGCCAGCACCGCCTGAGACGAGAGCAATCTAGGATGATTC